TCGCAGTCTGCCTGAAAGAAACTCAGTGTCTCGTCAGATCTCCGGCCTCGTAGACATTCCTACCAAGAGTATCACTTATATCCTGTGCCTATCCTCGCGCTGGTCGGCCCATACCCATCTGTCTTGGACCACGCCTTACGCTACCATTGGTTCCAGCCCACAGTGGTGCTTGATATGACTAAACAATTTTTCTGAGACAATATACTGTTTACTAGCCAATCTTCCTTATTGTTCATTATCTCTTAGGATCTTAGTATTTACTTTTTTTCTGGTTTCGGGGTATTCTGGGAATGTTTATATACCATTTAATCTCAGAGGCCCTTTTTGCTAGATATCATCAGACATTGGAGGTTAGGACAACCATTTTCGCTGGATATCATCAGACATTGGAGGTTAGGACAACCATTTTCGCTAGATATCATCAGACATTGGAGGTTAGAACAACCTTTTTGCTAGATATCATCAGACATTTGAGGTTAGAACAACCATTTTCGCTAGATATCATCAGACATTGGAGGTTAGAACAACCTTTTTGCTATATATCATCAGACATTGGAGGTTAGGACAACCCAGACATTGGAGGTTAGGACAACCATTTTCGCTAGATATCATCAGACATTGGAGGTTAGGACAACCATTTTCGCTAGATATCATCAGACGTTGGAGGTTAGGACAACCATTTTCGCTAGATATCATCAGACGTTGGAGGTTAGGACAACCATTTTCGCTAGATATCATCAGACATTGGAGGTTAGGACAACCATTTTCGCTAGATATCATCAGACGTTGGAGGTTAGGACAACCATTTTCGCTAGATATCATCAGACGTTGGAGGTTAGGACAACCATTTTCGCTAGATATTATCAGACTTTGGAGGTTAGAACAACCTTTTTCGCTAGATATCATCAGACATTGGAGGTTAGGACAACCATTTTCGCTAGATATCATCAGACGTTGGAGGTTAGGACAACCATTTTCGCTAGATATCATCAGACGTTGGAGGTTAGGACAACCATTTTCGCTAGATATCATCAGACGTTGGAGGTTAGGACAACCATTTTCGCTAGATATCATCAGACATTGGAGGTTAGGACAACCATTTTCGCTAGATATCATCAGACGTTGGAGGTTAGGACAACCATTTTCGCTAGGTATCATCAGACGTTGGAGGTTAGGACAACCATTTTCGATAGATATTATCAGACTTTGGAGGTTAGAACAACCATTTTCGCTAGATATCATCAGACATTGGAGGTTAGGACAACCATTGTCGATAGATATTATCAGACTTTGGAGGTTAGAACAACCATTTTCGCTAGATATCATCAGACGTTGGATGTTAGAACAACCATTTTCGCTAGATATCATCAGACATTGGAGGTTAGAACAACCATTTTCGCTAGATATCATCAGACGTTGGAGGTTAGAACAACCATTTTCGCTAGATATCATCAGACGTTGGAGGTTAGGACAACCATTTTCGATAGATATTATCAGACTTTGGAGGTTAGGACAACCATTTTCGCTAGATATCATCAGACGTTGGAGGTTAGGACAACCATTTTCGCATTCTATAGAGAGCCAGTTTTAACATACGGCTTTAAATCCTGCATAATTGGTAAACAAGCCGAACAATTTCTTGAAGCCTCGGAGATGTGGTTTAACAGAAGAATCCTTGCCCGGCTCTCTAGCGAAGTTGGTTAAACCTGACTTTCGCGGCGGCCGGGTGACGAACTCCTTGTGGTCCGGGTTCACTCCCGGGGGTAGGCAGAAAAGCCACATTTCTCCCAGATTAACGGTACCTATAATGGAATCAAGGCCGAAGGGTTGCGATATCCATAGTACCGAGCCAAAGGGTTTACAACTCATGGTTTCTGGATACGTAAAAAAAAAAAAAAAACAGAAGAATCCTTAGAATTCCGCGGACAGCTTAAAAGAGCGACCTGACCCATATTGTGTGAAAGAGGCGAGGGCGCGAAGACAACTGATCACAAACATCAGAAAATCATCACTTTGTGGTCATGTTCTGACGAGAAGGAGACTGGAACATGTTGTGACAACTGGACAGATCTGTGGAGAGACAAAGAACGACAGGACGAGAAGATTCTTGACAGCCCCTTGTCATGGAGTGGTGTCAACATACGAACTTATACAGACTGTTGTGGATCGCAAATTTTGAAGAGGCATGATCGCTGACGCCAGTCGACAAGGCACTTGGGGACGACGATGATGATCAAAACAACACGTGCATGAATGTAACACTGTATTGCGCACCGTAAGAATAAATCTAGTGGTCAGCCATGCACGGTGCGATGTGTGCGACACAGTGTATGTTGGCAGTGTTGCCACTTTGGATCTTTTATATCCAAATTAGGATCTTTTTCATTGCATCTAGATACTGTTTTTGACGTTTAGATCGTAAAAATTTTTCTAGATTCTTTTCATGTGGAGTTAGATATTTTATAGATTTTTTTTTCTTTCATTGTCAATTTAATAATTACTGTGTAAAATATTTACTACAATATTTTTGTATTGGTCTGGCACGTACATTGTGACAAATGCCATTACTTGAACTTTGAACTCTCACTGGGGTCAACGCACAAATATCTGGCAGCCCCAGTACTGATGAATAAAAACGTGCGTAAATCATACTAACTTTGTTTCAACCGTATCCTCACTGTGCTGACTTTGCGTTTCTTTTTCATGTGATTGAAAAAAAAATAATTACTTACCTTCTTATGTGGCTTTCACTTTGAAAAAACCTTTCAACATGCCAAAAGTAAAGCATGAGCAAAAAATTTGGAAAGAGTGCTTGCATGATGACAAAATTAAAAACTGGGGATATGACCAAAGCTCGTTGTAAGTACTGCAAGTGTGAAATTAAAGCGAAAATACAAAACTCAAAGAGTCATGCAGAGACTAAAAAAAGCATAAAACTGCAGTTTCATTTAAAGATATTACACCGCTGACATCTGTTTTCAGAACTAAACTGATAAATGAATCATCAAAAGTTGAAGTATCAGTCGCAATGTTTTTAATTTGCCACTGCGCAATTTCAAACTGTGACCATTTGATCGATTTGTAAAAAATCTTGGACTAATTCAATTTGAAAAGTGTGATGTACAAAGTATAGTTTAGGAACTGAAGGACCTTTTAATCTGCAAACAGTTGAAGAATTTGGCTGTAATTGGTACTGATAATGCCTCAGTGATGGTTGGTATAAACAATGGCGTTTATGCCAAGTTAAAGGATGCTAACCCGTCGTTAATACTTATAAAATGTATGCGTCATTCATTGCAGCTAGCATTATCACATGCTTCATCTAATTATTTACCAAGGAATTAGGAATACCTTATTGCTGAAAAACTTTACTGGTTTTCCAAATCATTTGTCAGACAACAGCAATACAATACATTATATACAGCTTTGAATGATGGTTCCACACCACCGAAAATTCTGTCAGATTGCAAAACTAGATGGTTATCAATTTAACCAGCTGCTGAAAGAATTATGAAGCAATGGCTGAAGTTGAAGACACACTTTGAAATTACAAGCAAAGTGAAAAGTGCTACACAGCTGAAATACTATATGGAATGTACAGTGATGAAAAAAAAAAATTGTCATTCATTCTCTTTTTATAACCTATTCTAATGGAAGTGCAAAAAGTTAATAAACTGTTCGAATCTAAACTTGTTGATAAAGTTAAATTGCTTGATGATCTCACCTTGCCATTTCACTCGGTAAAAGACTTGTGTTGCTTACTTCTAAAGCTGATTTGCTCACTTGCACTATAGAGAGCTATTTGGCTCCTAAGCCACACCTTGGATATTAAATCGAATCAAAAATTTATGATTTAAAAACAAAAGGACTGTTAACAGAGAATGAGGAGAACAACTTAAGAAAACGCTGTCAAGATTTCCATATCTCATTATTGAAGCAGAGACTTCCTGAAAATCTAGATGTTTTGAAAAATATTTCACTTTTTTCTGTGAGCAACATACTTCAGCCAATAAATGACATACCTAAATATTGTAAAGTTATGAAATTTTTAGGGGCTACTGATAATAGTGTTGCGGAAGCAGAATATCCGTTAACCAAAATAAAGTTAGCTGAATGGACAAACAAAACAGAAACTAAAGCGTTTTGGAGTGAAGTGAGACAATTTAAAGATGCCTCATCTAAAAGTCCATTCTGTAATCTCTTTAAAGTGCCATGTCTGCCATGATACTACCCCACTCAAATGCTGATGTAGAAAGAGTTTTCAGTGCTATGAATTATATCAAATCTAACCTAAAAAACAGGATGAAATTTGACCTCTTAAATGCTATCGTGCTATTAAAATTCGGCCTTATGAGAGTAGAGAAATAAGCCTACTGTTCCACTTATAAAGAAATTTGACCAGCTAAAGCATACCAGGGTCTTTTTTGGATCTGAAGCTTCAACTTCATTATCCAAGCTAAGTTTATCCTGTGGATCTTGTGAGGCAGACATCAGTGAAGGTGAGGACATAATTATGTAGGGTAAGTCATTACAAAAGCTATGTAATTTTTGACTTGTTCAATGTGGATGTTTTTTTCTAGATCTTTTCCACGCAGATTTAGATCTTTTTATATATTTTCTGACACCGTTTTGGATATTTTTTGTCAAAGAAAAGTGGCAACACTGCATGTTGGTGTCACCGAGGTACTGGCCGCCTTTCTGTGCTCATACCAATTTGTTTTTACCAAGTGCTGATACCCGTTTTGTTTAGGAGCTGTCACGATGTAGCGGCTAGACACAACCTTCTGATTAGAAGCTCGTGGGTTTAACCAGGAACCAGTTTAACCTGACTAGAATAATTGAGATGCCTTGGAAACAGAACATTAACTTTCTAACCCGGCAGGTTCCAGTGGGATGAGATCGGTGCACCAGGACCGTGTACAGGTCACGTGATCAGCTGGTCTCAGGATGCAGATACTGTTGCCTGGCAACAAGATGTGGCCGACCAACAGGCTGTTACCATGACAATCAATGAATACATTGCTGGGGCAGTGGCAGGTGAGAATTGTACCGACAGACACAACCCTTCGACCTGCATGTGTCGACAGACAGACACAACCCTTAGACCTGCATGTGTGGACAGACAGACACAACCCTTAGACCTGCATGTGTGGACAGACTGGCCAGAGACCTGCATATGTGGACAGACTGCTGTCAAGTGTGCTTACATGGGCAAACTTATGTGTTCTCATGACTTCACTGTGTAGTGATAAAGTAGCTTGTGTGTCCCTGTGTTCGCTATGTATCCCTGAATCACGAATGTCTGTCTGTGTTACATGTCAGACTGTGTGATTGATACAGCAGTGTTGTGTGTGTTTGATACAACAGACTTGTGTGTGATTGATACAACAGTGCTGTGTGTGATTGATACAACAGTGGTGTATGTGATTGATACAACAGTGGTGTATGTGATTGATACAACAGTGCTGTGTGTGATTGATACAACAGTGGTGTATGTGATTGATACAACAGTGATGTGTGTGATTGATACAACAGTGATGTATGTGATTGATACAACAGTGATGTATGTGATTGATACAACAGTGATGTATGTGATTGATACAACAGTGATGTATGTGATTGATACAACAGTGGTGTATGTGATTGATACAACAGTGGTGATATGTGTATGTGATACAACAGTGGTGATTGATGTGATTGATTGATACAACAGTGGTGTATGTGATTGATACAACAGTGTTGTGTGTGATTGATACAACAGTGCTGTGTGTGATTGATACAACAGTGATGTATGTGATTGATACAACAGTGGTGTATGTGATTGATACAACAGTGGTGTATGTGATTGATACAACAGTGTTGTGTGTGATTGATACAACAGTGGTGTGTGTGTTTGATACAACAGTGGTGTGTGTGTTTGATACAACAGTGTTGTGTGTGATTGATACAACAGTGATGTATGTGATTGATACAACAGTGATGTATGTGATTGATACAACAGTGATGTATGTGATTGATACAACAGTGGTGTGTGTGATTGATACAACAGTGATGTGTGTGATTGATACAACAGTGGTGTGTGTGATTGATACAACAGTGATGTATGTGATTGATACAACAGTGATGTATGTGATTGATACAACAGTGATGTATGTGATTGATACAACAGTGCTGTGTGTGATTGATACAACAGTGCTTTGTGTGATTGATACAACAGTGCTTTGTGTGATTAATACAGCCGTGCTGTGTGTGACTGAAACAACCTTATCAATCTCACTAGACTGTTTTTGTTCCATCTGCTCCTCCGAATTGTTCACTCTCTTCCACACTAACCACGTCTGCCTTATCATGCATTAGTATTCCACCAAGTTGTGCAGAGCCAGCTAGTCTGTCCGCCTGTTAATTTCTCAATACACCGGCGTGCCCAGGTGAAAAAATCCAAACAAACCTCCTTACCCGTGTCCTTCGAAGCGAAGCATGCCACTTTGCACGAAGCATGCCACTTTGCACGAAGCATGCCACTTTGCACGAAGCATGCCACTTTGCACGAAGCATGCCACTTTGCACGAAGCATGCCACTTTGCACGAAGCATGCCACTTTGCACGAAGCATGCCACTTTGCACGAAGCATGCCACTTTGCACGAAGCATGCCACTTTGCACGAAGCATGCCACTTTGCACGAAGCATGCCACTTTGCACGAAGCATGCCACTTTGCACGAAGCATGCCTGTCATGATCTTCCTCAGCATGTTTTTCTAAGTCAGTTACAATCACGATGTATGTATGTGTGTCATGTCGTGAGATTGATATAAAAGTGCTGTGTGTGACAGCCTGGACTGTGTAATTAATACAACAGTGCTGTGTGTGACAGCCTGGACTGTGTAATTAATACAACAGTGCTGTGTGTGACAACCTAGACTGAGAAATTAATACAACAGTGCTATTTGTGACAACCTGGACTGTGTAATTAATACAACAGTGCTATGTGTGACAACCTGGACTGTGTAATTAATACAACAGTGCTATGTGTGACAACTTGGACTGTGTAATGAACACAACAGTGCTATGTGTGACAACCTAGACTGAGTAATTAATACAACAGTGCTATGTGTGACAACCTGGACTGTGTAATTAATACAACAGTGCTATGTATCATCAATACAGCAGTGCAGAGTGACAGTCTGGAAGTGTTAACATTTGACATCAGAGCTCATAGGTCAAGCTCCTGGATGCTCTCTCTCATCAGTTGTCTGCTGTGTAGATGCTAATCATTTCATGAATGCATGGGTTGTAAACATGTTGGATTTAATCCCTCCAAACTCAAGCGTCTCAAACACGTTGTTTCATCTGTTACTCTATCACTAACTAGCAGTTTTTTTAAAAGCATATTTTAAAAAAAAAAAAATAGTATTAAACTGTTTTCGTTTCAGGGATGTCTGGTGTAGTGATCGGCCATCCGTTTGACACAACTAAGGTTTGTGTGTGTCCTGTTTTTGGAAATAGATATGTTTTATGATTTAGTTCATTCTTATATATTATTAAAGGTTAAGTAATTGCAAAAGTTTAAAGCTGCGTATTAGCCACCTATTTGGAATGCATGTTTCATATACAGTAGATTGAGGGAGCGAGTTTATCTAATAAATGAAGGTCTGGTGTGAACTGGGTATATGTGCATGCATGCATGTGCATGTCTCTCTTTCTCTCTCTCTCTCTCGCTCTCTCTCTCTCTCTCTCTCTCTCTCTCTCTCTCTCTCTCTTTGTGTGTGCGTGTTTGTGTGTGAGTGTATGTGCGTGGGTGGGTGGGGGTGTGTGTGTGTTTGGGGAAGGGGGGGGAGTGTTTAGAAACTGTGTGTCTCTGTAAAACTGGGCATGCCTGTGGAAGAGTGAGCATTATCTTTGGACTTGTCTAATTTATTGAGGCTGCCAGGAAGAGTGGCAGTAACAAGCTGAATTATACCACACCCACCTACTTGCTACCTAGCCTTTCCATTATATCAGTTCATGTGAAATACAACATTCATTGTTCGTAAACTCTATTTAAGGTGCATGAGGAGTTTCAGATCACCAGCAATGATGATTGGAACAGTTATTTGAATTCTTTTTCTTCTTCACATTCTAAGAGGCATTCTTGTTTGGGCCCCAACCCTCGAGTGTCAGTCTCAAGTTATTTGTCGGTTAACTATAAGAACGCAACCATTTCTGATAAGTCAAGCTAATGACAACAATTTAACAACCACTAGAACATGTCACACCTCAGACACGAACCTTCTGACATGAGAGCGACTTTCCAAGCTGCTGGGTTTGGAGTGATAGAGAAGTAGCTCATACCTGTAGAGGAGAAATGATTCCATTAGGCCTAGTCTCAGCCAATCCAGATGTGCTGTATTTAATCATGACCTCCCAGTGAATGTTCCTGGGCCCCATTTGGGGGCAGGGGGGTGGAATAGGCTGTCACTGCTCCCCTAACAAGCATGTCGTAAGAGGCAGCTAACTATTGGTGTTTCTTCCAAGTCGGAGTGCATCTGCTTGTGAAATTACCACTAACGGCCTGCGTATAAATAAGCCAATCTGCTAAACACATGTGCAGTCATAAAATAAGTTCTGGGACAAGACTCTAGTCCAGAAGTGGATAATCAGAAGTTTCTATTAGCCAATCAACGTGAAGAAAAAGATGACAATCATGATATGGTAGCATCCTAAAATGTCTCAGCAGTTGTTAACATTAAATGCCTGGCTGATGTCAGGCCTAGAAGTAAAGAAGAGCTCTGCAAGACACTCTTCATGGAGATAAAACTGTAGTGTTTCATCATTAGATAGACAGTCTCTAAACTAAGCTCATACATGTTTTGCTAGGCTAAGCCCTGTTTAGAGTTTCAGTATACCATGAACTTTGGTGCATGACATTAATCAATTAAACCTGAACCTTCCAGTGGATTCACAACACATTGACGTGATATGTTGTCAGACTTGGATCACAAACTTTCTCTGTATTGCATCATTTTTTGTCATCATTCACCAGCTTCAGATGCAGATCCGAACAACCGGAGATCACAAACTGACACGAGTCAGAGATGCCTTTGCCAGTGTAGCAGCTCAAGGACTTGTGAGTATTTGTGTACTTTGTGATGTGGCACTTTAACAGTAAAGTACTGCAGAGTACACTTGTAGTTTGTGGTGGCACTTTAACAGTAAAGTACTGCAGAGTACACTTGTAGTTTGTGATGGCACTTTAACAGTAAAGTACTGCAGAGTACACTTGTAGTTTGTGATGGCACTTTAACAGTAAAGTACTGCAGAGTACACTTGTAGTTTGTGATGGCACTTTAACAGTAAAGTACTGCAGAGTACACTTGTAGTTTGTGGTGGCACTTTAACAGTAAAGTACTGCAGAGTACACTTGTAGTTTGTGATGGCACTTTAACAGTAAAGTACTGCAGAGTACACTTGTAGTTTGTGATGGCACTTTAACAGTAAAGTACTGCAGAGTACACTTGTAGTTTGTGATGGCACTTTAACAGTAAAGTACTGCAGAGTACACTTGTAGTTTGTGGTGGCACTTTAACAGTAAAGTACTGCAGAGTACACTTGTAGTTTGTGATGGCACTTTAACAGTAAAGTACTGCAGAGTACACTTGTAGTTTGTGATGGCACTTTAACAGTAAAGTACTGCAGAGTACACTTGTAGTTTGTGATGGCACTTTAACAGTAAAGTAATGGATAGTACACTTGTAGTTTGTGATGGCACTTTAACAGTAAAGTACTGCAGAGTACACTTGTAGTTTGTGATGGCACTTTAACAGTAAAGTACTGCAGAGTACACTTGTAGTTTGTGATGGCACTTTAACAGTAAAGTACTGCAGAGTACACTTGTAGTTTGTGATGGCACTTTAACAGTAAAGTACTGCAGAGTACACTTGTAGTTTGTGATGGCACTTAAACAGTAAAGTACTGGAGAGTACACTTGTAGTTTGTGATGGCACTTTAACAGTAAATTACTGGAGATTACACTTGTAGTTTGTTAAGACACTTGTTCAGTAAATTACTGGAGATTACACTTGTAGTTTGATAAGACACTTGTTCAGTAAATTACTGGAGATTACACTTGTAGTTTGCCAGCAGTCAGGATTTGCTGATGTATTTCTTCACTGAGAAAATTTCCAGAGTCGGCACCTGGGAAACAATATGGTAAACACACAAAAAAGCTTCAGTAGACATCAGAAGTTCAGATGCCTTGGCATGAGTTTGCTGGTTGATGGTGCAATAAGAAGTACAATGCAAAAGACAAAGACGCCCTCTTTTATAGAGAAAATTAAAAGATAGGTAGAACTGAGTAGGTTTACGGAAGATACTTATCTCTCTCTTTATCTCTCTCTCTCTCTCTCTCTCTCTCTCTCTCTCTCTCTCTCTCTCTCTCTCTCTCTCTCTCTCTCTTTCTGACACATACATTATGCATGCATGCATGTGTGCACGCACACACACACACACACAAATGTTTAATTGTGTAGTATTAGAACACCTGTCAATGTTGACTGCAGAAAAATGGACTGTTCCGTGGCATGATGTTCCCCGTGGTCTCCTATGGTCTGGTCAACTCTATGTTTTTTGGTGTCTATGGAAACACAATACGATTGCTGGAACCTGACCATACCGTCCGACCAACCAACTCTCAGGTGGGATATCACTGACTGACAGGTTTGCATTAACTCTTGTGTGCACGAATGCAGTTGTGTTTCTTGTGTTTGTTTTCTGTTTGCAGTAGACAGGTGCATGGTAAATCTATGTGTGTATAGAGCATTGGTGTGGATGTGGATGTAAGTTGATGAATGAAAGCTGAGGAATGTCATGTTTGGCCCAGCAAATGTCAATCAGATGTCAAGAGTGGGCGGGTGCATTGTCATGACGGAGCTGCTAATATGCTGGTGCTTACAAATCTGGGCATACAGACCCATCAAGCCAAAGGATCACCTCCAGGCAACAGTACTCTTGGATAATGTTTTGGTCAAATTGTGTATACCCATGAGCCTTCTCGTACCGCAGTTTTACAAGAAAATAGTTGCATGACTGTTGAGCTGCTGTGTGTATACCTTGTTTGTTTGGCCTCATGAATAATTAATATCTCCTCTTTGTTGATTAGTTGTCTGTGTTTTCTGTGCCTTGGTTCCCGGGTCATAACTGAACTTACCCATTGCCACTGATCACAGAGTTGGGAAAGTTGGTCTTGTCATTTCTGTAACCCAGTGTGTCCTGTACAACTGTTATATCAAGTCACTTCTGCTCAGTCATCAATAGCTTTAACATGACATTGACATAGACTCTCTTAAGGACCAAACCCTCAGTTACAAGGGAGTGTAAACATTGACATAGACTTTCTTAAGGACCAAACCCTCAGTCACAAGGGCGTGTAAACATTGACATAGACTCTCTTAAGGACCAAACCCTCAGTTACAAGGGAGTGTAAACATTGACATAGACTTTCTTAAGGACCAAACCCTCAGTCACAAGGGCGTGTAAACATTGACATAGACTCTCTTAAGGACCAAACCCTCAGATACAAGGGAGTGTAAACATTGACATAGACTCTCTTAAGGACCAAACCCTCAGTTACAAGGGAGTGTAAACATTGACGTCGACTCTCTTAAGGACCAAACCCTCAGTTACAAGGGAGTGTAAACATTGACATAGACTTTCTTGAGGACCAAACCCTCAGTCACAAGGGAGTGTAAACATTGACATAGACTTTCTTGAGGACCAAACCCTCAGTCACAAGGGAGTGTAAACATTGACGTCGACTCTCTTAAGGACCAAACCCTCAGTTACAAGGGAGTGTAAACATTGACGTCGACTCTCTTAAGGACCAAACCCTCAGTTACAAGGGAGTGTAAACATTGACATAGACTTTCTTGAGGACCAAACCCTCAGTCACAAGGGAGTGTAAACATTGACATAGACTTTCTTGAGGACCAAACCCTCAGTCACAAGGGCGTGTAAACATTGACATAGACTCTCTTAAGGACCAAACCCTCAGTTACAAGGGAGTGTAAACATTGACGTCGACTCTCTTAAGGACCAAACCCTCAGTTACAAGGGAGTGTAAACATTGACGTCGACTCTCTTAAGGACCAAACCCTCAGTTACAAGGGGGTGTAAACATTGACATAGACTCTCTTAAGGACCAAACCCTCAGTTACAAGGGAGTGTAAACATTGACGTCGACTCTCTTAAGGACCAAACCCTCAGTTACAAGGGAGTGTAAACATTGATGTAGACTCTCTTAAGGACCAAACCCTCAGTTACAAGGGAGTGTAAACATTGACATAGACTCTCTTAAGGACCAAACCCTCAGTTACAAGGGAGTGTAAACATTGATGTAGACTCTCTTAAGGACCAAACCCTCAGTTACAAGGGAGTGTAAACATTGACATAGACTCTCTTAAGGACCAAACCCTCAGTTACAAGGGAGTGTAAACATTGACATAGACTCTCTTAAGGACCAAACCCTCAGTTACAAGGGAGTGTAAACATTGACATAGACTCTCTTAAGGACCAAACCCTCAGTTACAAGGGAGTGTAAACATTGACGTCGACTCTCTTAAGGACCAAACCCTCAGTTACAAGGGAGTGTAAACATTGATGTAGACTCTCTTAAGGACCAAACCCTCAGTTACAAGGGAGTGTAAACATTGACGTCGACTCTCTTAAGGACCAAACCCTCAGTTACAAGGGAGTGTAAACATTGACATAGACTCTCTTAAGGACCAAACCCTCAGTCACAAGGGAGTGTAAACATTGACGTCGACTCTCTTAAGGACCAAACCCTCAGTTACAAGGGAGTGTAAACATTGACGTCGACTTTCTTAAGGACCAAACCCTCAGTTACAAGGGAGTGTAAACATTGATGTAGACTCTCTTAAGGACCAAACCCTCAGTTACAAGGGAGTGTAAACATTGATGTAGACTCTCTTAAGGACCAAACCCTCAGTCACAAGGGAGTGTAAACATTGACATAGACTCTCTTAAGGACCAAACCCTCAGTTACAAGGGAGTGTAAACATTGACGTCGACTCTCTTAAGGACCAAACCCTCAGTTACAAGGGAGTGTAAACATTGACGTCGACTCTCTTAAGGACCAAACCCTCAGTCACAAGGGAGTGTAAACATTGACGTCGACTCTCTTAAGGACCAAACCCTCAGTCACAAGGGAGTGTAAACATTGACATAGACTCTCTTAAGGACCAAACCCTCAGTTACAAGGGAGTGTAAACATTGACGTCGACTCTCTTAAGGACCAAACCCTCAGTTACAAGGGAGTGTAAACATTGACGTCGACTCTCTTAAGGACCAAACCCTCAGTTACAAGGGAGTGTAAACATTGACGTCGACTCTCTTAAGGACCAAACCCTCAGTTACAAGGGAGTGTAAACATTGACGTCGACTCTCTTAAGGACCAAACCCTCAGTTACAAGGGAGTGTAAACATTGACATAGACTCTCTTAAGGACCAAACCCTCAGTTACAAGGGAGTGTAAACATTGACATAGACTTTCTTAAGGACCAAACCCTCAGTCACAAGGGAGTGTAAACATTGACGTCGACTCTCTTAAGGACCAAACCCTCAGTCACAAGGGAGTGTAAACATTGACATAGACTTTCTTAAGGACCAAACCCTCAGTCACAAGGGAGTGTAAACATTGACATAGACTCTCTTAAGGACCAAACCCTCAGTCACAAGAGAGTGTAAACATTGACATAGACTCTCTTAAGGACCAAACCCTCAGTTACAAGGGAGTGTAAACATTGACATAGACTCTCTTAAGGACCAAACCCTCAGTTACAAGGGAGTCTACCGGAGCACTTTTCCAGTGTATGGCCATTTTTTGAGCACTCATAACATCCCCTAAATTGTTTCATTTGCTTGTGACACCATTCCCCCCAAATCCTTGTTGAACTGTCTGAATGTTTTCTACTTCTCTGTTGCTAGATTTTTGGTGAGCTACCCTTACCCACAGAAGACTGCAGGTTATTATAGACTGGTGTGGCCGGTATATTTAAAGGTTGAACGAACCATCTGTGACTTGCCCTGTTGGTCTGCCATCTGGGACAAGAGTTTTATGAAACTGTTAGAGGGGATCAAACTTGTCAGCAACCTAAAGGTGGAAACAGGCGTAAAACTTTTGCATAATTGGATGAAACATTTCACAACACCACCGGTGGGATATGCCAGGCACACTGGCTTGTCAATTCATTTGGTCTGGCCCTACCTACTAGTGCAGCCGTAATTGTATAGCAGGAATAAAGTCGATTTTTCTTTATGACCTACACATGACGCGACAGCTATCCAAATGAACCTTGTCAGGAAACAAGCTTCCACACCTATGCCCTACATGATTCCTGACTAACAGCTAACTGAACTCCAAACTTTATTTGCTTATATGAGTACAATTCAAGAGGATACTTTTGGAATATACCTTTCATTTTACGCAGGGCTGGATTGAGACCATGTGAAAGCACTTGAATGAGGTTTGTCCCCTCCCCCCCCCCCCCCCCCCCCCCCCCCACCCTATTCCTTAGAGCCGGCTTAACAGCATTATGGGCCTCTGGGCAAACCAGCGTGCTGGGGTCCTAGCGACAATCACTCACAGGAATGAAGTGTAATAGTCACTTGACATATTAGTTAGTCTTTCCTCTTGTGTCGAGTGCGGCACATAGGGCAGAGGTCATGACTCTCCATGCATGGCGGTTCGTTGCAATCCGTTGTAGGTCTTGGATGTTTGAGTGGCCCATGAGTGAGCCTTCCCTGATGATAGTTCTACGTAGGGTTTCCCTTGGTCTTCCATGAGATCTTTTCCCCCGTGGTGTCCAAATGAGGGCTTGGTAAGGAAGTCTTGATTTATCCATTCTAAGGGCGTGGCCGACATAGTTCCAGCGGCGTTTTCGTATAAAATTAGACACATACTCTTGCCTGGATTCTTGCCTTATTTGTGTATTTGTTCGGAAATCTGACCATTTGAAATTTAGTATTCTTCTAAGGCATTTATTTTCAAAACTGTCTAATTTTGTGTCTAGAGTTTTCGTTGATTTCCAGCTCAGCTTATTATTGGCTCCCTATGCTGCTAAGGCCCCGGAGCAAGTGCCTAGCGGGCTCATGTGTTTAGATGGCACTGGTACCCCATGTTTATGTATTTCACCAGACAAACAAAAATACACCATAAAATGACATTGTATTTATCAAAGATAAACAAAATTTACAGTAAGATGAGAAAATAATTTATATTTTTGTAAGCTTCCGCTGTATTTATATTTGAAAAGTGTTGTCCTGCTTTTTTAATTGCAAAGTCTCTAACCTTGTCCTCAAAACTATTCTTGTGTAATATATCTGCTTCTATGCTTAACATAGGTCAGGCATCCAGTCTGCTCTATTGCACTCTTGTTTAGAAGGGATTTTTTATCTACTTCCCTGAGAAAATGAACACCAAACTTTAAGGCTATTGATATTTTATGTGGTGCCCCCTCCCATTGTGATACCCTTAACACATGCTTAATGTGCTGAATGGTTAATCAGGCCCTGGTTGTACACATAGACATGGAAGGATGTGTGGTTGGTGACAGTAGACAGATCTCTTGCCTCTTTGAACAGGTGTACCTGGCTGTGTGGTAGGTAACTCTTGCCTCTATGAACAGGTGTACCTGGCTGTGTGGTAGGTAACTCTTGCCTCTATGAACAGGTGTACCTAGCAGGCTGTGTGGTAGGTAACTCTTGCCTCTATGAACAGGTGTACCTGGCAGGCTGTGTGGTAGATAACTCTTGCCTCTATGAACAGGTGTACCTGGCTGTGTGGTAGATAACTCTTGCCTCTATGAACAGGTGTACCTGGCAGGCTGTGTGGCTGGCACCTCGCAACTTCTAGTGGCCTGCCCAGTGGAGGTCATCAAGTGCACACTGCAGGCTCAGATTCCACTGACCATGCCAAAGTGTGAGTATGTCATTAGTTCTCTATCCACCAGAAGTTCTCAGTGTACCATTAGTTCTCTATTTACCAGAAATTCTCAGTGTACCATTAGCTCTCTATCTACAAGAAGTTCTGTGTGTGCCATTGGTTCTCTATCTACTAGAAGGTTTCTGTGTACCATTGTAGCACAGCTGTGCTCTTCGTTGAGTACATCAATGTCGCACCCAGGTTCGTCTTTAGGTTTGCTACAGGGGAAGTCGATTTGAAGATTAAAGACGAGGAGAAAGATGGTCGTGTCGATAGTGGTGATGATGATGATGATGTCTTGCTAGCTGAATGCTTCTCGCGTAACTCTGATGCTTGTTTAATACAATATCTGGAAACAACTGTTCTTGTCTAAATTTTTTTTTTGGTGACACTTCAATAATGTCACAAACCACATCAATGATATTCTGAAAGGCGCTGTGTTCTCTCTATGGCTAAATACTCGTAGGTTCGCGTTGTGTTCTTCATCTCTAGCTACTTTGGTCCTAGTGTCCGTAACTGCCACCTGGCTTCTAGTGCTGTCTGGTACTAACAGCTTGATCGTCGACTCTAACATTTTAATAATGTTCCTACCTAATGTGTCGCTGTTAACCATGGATCCATATTTCTTGTGAGTCATCTCTGTAGTTCGATGACTCGTTTCATGTCTCTTCTCTAGTGTCTGTGTTTGTGGCTCCATGTGACTGGTTCTTTTATTTCTAAACCTCGAAAACTCTTTGAGTCACCGGCTGAAGGCTTGCTCTGAGGGTCAATATTACTAGTCCCTCCACTTTCTAAGTCTTGTAGACTGAAAGTTTTCTTTGAGGGTCAATATTACTAGTCCCTCTTCTCTCTAAGTCTTGTAGACCGAAGTATTCTAGAGTTGAGCGGACATCTCTCAAAGTGAAGACTCTTTAAGGGTCTATATGACTGGTCTCTCCTCTCTTGAGTCTTATGGACTGAAGAATTACTCTTGTGGTTTCTCGCTCATTATTTATAGTTGGATGCTGAAATGCTAGTTATTAGTTTTCTTCTCACTTTTTCTGCTTTTAGAATATTCTAGTAAGTCTTAAAATGTTTACTATGTGCGTTCTCAGGTGGGATTTTCTAATAATGTCTCGATTGCATCAGATTTCATCAGTCTATTCTGCACAGATATAGTAGTTAAATTGACAGCTGACGTCATAGGGACTCCTATGGAAAAAGTGCTACTATGTTCTTTTTGAAAGGGCACGTCAAGTATGACGTCAAATACTATTTACAAAATATTGTTGCCAAGAGCTGTTGATTTTCTTCTCATAAACTAATTGGCAATTTTCTATCTCCTGATAAACAAGTGATGACGCCAATAGTTAGTTTTGGCGGAAAAATTAAGGCTACCAAAACTTGTTGATCTCGGTACATCCCGGCTCTGCGCCATATACTAACTCCCAAAAAACAAGCAATGACCTTTCTCTGTTACACCATTAGTTCTCTATCTACCAGAAGGTTTCTGTGTACCATTAGTTCTCTATCTACCAGAAGGTCTCTGTGTACCATTAGTTCTCTATCTACCAGAAGGTCTCTGTGTACCATTAGTTCTCTATCTACCAGAAGGTTTCTGTGTAACATTAGTTCTCTATCTACCAGAAGGTTTCTTTGTGCCATTAGTTCTCTGTCTACTAGAAATTTATGTGTTCCATTAGTTCTCTATCTACCAGAAGGTCTATGTGTACCATTAGTTCTCTATCTACCAGAAAGTTCCTGTGTACCATTAGTTCTCTATCTACCAGAAGGTTTCTGTGTACCATTAGTTCTCTATCTACCAGAAGGTTTCTGTGTATCATTAGTTCTCTGTCTATCAGAAAGTTCCTGTGTACCATTAGTTCTGTATCTACCAGAAGGTTTCTGTGAACTATTAGTTCTTTACCTACCAGAAGGTTTCTGTGTACCATTAGTTCTCAGTGTACCAGCATTTCTCTGTATACTAGCAGTTCTGTGTATCATTAGTTCTTTGTATATCATTAGTTCTGTGTGTATGATTAGTTTTTTGCATACTATTAGTTTTCTATGTATGGTTAGTTCTCTGTGTACCACTAGTTCTCTGTGTATACCATTAGTTCCATGTGTACCCTTGGTTTTCTATCTACCAGTAATTCTCTGTATAATTTTAGTCTCCATGTACCATTAGTTATCTGTTTATCATTAGTTCTGTATGTATGATTAGTTCTTTTTATACCATTAGTTCTCTGTGTACTGTTAGTTCTGTCTGTACCAGTAGATCTATGTGTACCATTAGTTCTCTTGTACTATTAGTTCAGTCTCGTATTCAATGCGACAACTGTCAGTACAGGAATATTTTAAGTTAACACAATCCATTTTAAAAGTGAGGACACAGACAATAGACTGTAAAATTTGTTTTTTAAATTTAAACCTCAAGGACACATAAGAGGGTGTAGTTTACAGCTAGGCTGCAGTATCTGTGTCTTTGGTCTAACACATCTAGTTACAGCAAACCCTTCTTCTTCTTCTTCTTCTTCTTCTTCTTCTTCTTATTCTTATTCTTTCGTTCGCCTGAAATAAGTTGTCTATATTAGCAATTTTGTATCTTGTTTAAATTTCACTGTCGTTGTTAATTCATTCAGTGGTCCATAGTGTTTACGTTTCACTGTTGTTCTTTCTGGCCAAAAGGTTTGCCTTAATGTGTCAAACTCGGCGCAGTCCTGGAGTACATGCTCTGCTCTCTAGGGTACCTTTCCACAGGTGCACATGGCTGATACACCTATCTTGAATTTTGTGTACATGTGGTTACGTAATCGGTTTTGCCCTGTTCTGAGGCGGAGAATAATGACTTATTTTGGTCTGTCTATAATAAAATAGTCGTCTTGTGCTGGGGCTGGTGGTTTCCTGATCGATTTAATGATTCTTTTCTTTTGGTGGTATGTGACTGATACATCCAGCTGCACTTTTGTCGCACCTTTCCCTGCCAGTTGATCAGCTTTCTCATTTCCAGGCACTCCACAATGAGACGGTATCCACTGCATTACAACTCTTTGCTAAAGGCTGAGTACAGCAACCCCTTAATTAGTCACTGTTCACTACCTGTTTGTTTAGAAGCTTACTGTCCCCAAATGGGACCCTCTGACCCCATGGGAACTGTGATGTTATGATTTGTAGCCTTTTGTAAGGTTGTCTTCAGCCTTCTGTAAGGTTGTTTTAAGCTTTCTGTAAGGTTGTCTTCAGCTTTCTGTAAGGTTGTCTTCAGCCTTCTGTAAGGTTGTTTTCAGCTTTCTGTAAGGTTGTTTTCAGCTTTCTGTAAGGTTGTCTTCAGCCTTCTGTAAGGTTGTCTTCAGCCTTCTGTAAGGTTGTCTTCAGCATTCTGTAAGGTTGTCTTCAGCATTCTGTAAGGTTGTCTTCAGCCATGTGTAAGGTTGTCTTCAGCCATGTGTAAGGTTGTCTTCAGCCTTCTGTAAGGTTGTCTTCGGCCTTCTGTAAGGTTGTCTTCGGCCTTCTGCAAGGTTGTCTTTAGCCTTCTGTAAGGTTGTCTTCAGCCATCTGTAAGGTTGTCTTCAGCCTTCTGGAAGGTTGTCTTCAGCCTTCTGTAAGGTTGTCTTCAGCCTTCTGGAAAGTTGTCTTCAGCCTTCTGGAAGGTTGTCTTCAGCCTTCTGGAAGGTTGTCTTCAGCCTTCTGTAAGGTTGTCTTCAGCCTTCTGTAAGGCTGTCTTCAGCCTTCTGTAAGGTTGTCTTCAGCCTTCTGTAAGGTTGTCTTCAGCCTTCTGTAAGGCTGTCTTCAGCCTTCTGTACGGTTGTCTTCAGCCTTCTGTAAGGCTGTCTTCAGCCTTCTGTAAGGTTGTCTTCAGCCTTCTGTAAGGCTGTCTTCAGCCTTTCAGTTGTGCCATCTGTGGCATTAACTCTCCCATGATCTCTTGTTCAGCCAGGATAGATAGTCCCCTTTATAGCAAGATAGTCAAGCCAAGGACCTACTATAAAGGGCCGATCGAAGCAAGCAGACGCATCTTTGGCAATGAAGGTGTTCTGGGCTTCTACAAAGGGATGTTTGTCATGTTTATGAGGTGAGTTGCTTGTTGTCATGTTTATGAGGTGAGTTGCTTGTTGTCATGTTTATGAGGTGAGTTGCTTGTTGTCATGTTTATGAGGTGAGTTGCTTGTTGTCATGTTTATGAGGTGAGTTGCTTGTTGTCATGTTTATGAGGTGAGTTGCTTGTTGTCATGTTTATGAGGTGAGTTGCTTGTTGTCATGTTTATGAGGTGAGTTGCTTGTTGTCATGTTTATGAGGTGAGTTGCTTGTTGTCATGTTTATGAGGTGAGTTGCTTGTTGTCATGTTTATGAGGTGAGTTGCTTGTGGTCATATCATGCCTTTTCTGTTTCTGGATTATTGAGGTTGTCATATCACTCCATATCTGTCACTGGTGTTGACAAGCAGGACCAGATCTTCACTGAGGTTGTCATATCACTCCATATCTGTCACTGGTGTTGACAAGCAGGACCAGATCTTCACTGAGGTTGTCATATCACTCCATATCTGTCACTGGTGTTGACAAGCAGGACCAGATCTTCACTGAGGTTGTCATATCACTCCATATCTGTCACTGGTGTTGACAAGCAGGACCAGATCTTCACTGAGGTTGTCATATCACTCCATATCTGTCACTGGTGTTGACAAGCAGGACCAGATCTTCACTGAGGTTATTATACAGGACCACACTCAGCCCTTGACAAGGTCATGTAGCCTCTATTTGTGATACAGTTTTTGTTTTCACCAGGTGGATCCCCATTTCAAAATGTCCAATCTCACAATGCTTCTTACCTATATGGGTTCCAAGACCCCATTGTGGGGGGGGGGGGTAGACCAACTTCCTCCATAACAAGCTTGTCGTAAAAGTCAACTAACGGAACTTTCTTTGAAGTTGCAGTGCGTCTGCCTGAGAGACAAGGGACCAGCAGTCCGCTTACAAATAAGCCAGATGATTAAAACATGCTTAAAACATTCAGGAACAAGACTAAAATGCACAGATGGACAAACAACCAGAACTTTCAGTCGGATGTTTACAGCCGGTGAATGAAGGTACAAGAGACTGTGCTTCCACACAAATGAAGTTCTTGCACTCGTCTTGTACACCTCTCAGTTTGGAACGTACTAGACCAGAGTGTTCACAATATGGGCCCACAGCCTACATAGGAGCAGTTTGATTGCTATGGGTGGCAGTTCTAAAGTGGACTTGTCCAGAGTTTATATTATGTGTATCTTACATAGGAGGCATACAAGAAAGGCTTTAGTGAGGCAAGGCACAAAAAAAGGTTGCATAACACTCGACTGCACAGTCTCAAGAAATACTGCTGTTGTACTCGTTTGATAGACGAGTCTTTTCCCCAAGCCACACTCTGATAGTTGCTGGATTCTTGGATGATCATCAGCACTGCTTGACACCAGAGTTAAACACATTTAGCCATTTGGGTGATTTTCAGCCAGGTCACATTGTACAAGTACCTCTTCCATCCCCAGGGATGTTCCCATCTATGGCCTGTACCTGTTGTCCTATGAGACATTGTACAAGTACCTCTTCCATCCCCAGGGATGTTCCCAGCTATGGCCTCTACCTGTTGTCCTATGAGACACTGCACAAGTACCTCTTCCATCATGGTCTGACAGACAAGAAGGGTGTCATAGCTGCCATAATTGCCGGGGGACTGGCCGGCTGTGCCTCCTGGCTGGGAATCATGCCATTTGACGTCATCAAAAGTAGACTGCAGGTAACAGTGCGACTTTCTCTTATCCTGGTTGTGTTTGATTTTGTTCATTCTGTACTTGTGTGCGTTTGTGTGAGAGAACGAGAGAGAGAGAAAGAGAGAGAAAGAGAGAGAGAGAGAGAGAGAGAGAGAGAGAGAGAGAGAGAGAGTTCTGAACCAGCAAGTAATCACACTTAAAAAGCAGGATGCCAACAGATGGCAGACACCTCAAAGACAGGCTGTGCCAACAGATGGCAGACACCTCAATGGCAAGCTGTGCCAACAGATGGCAGACACCTCAATGGCAAGCTGTGCCTGCAGGACATTGCGAGACACCTGGATGTCTGAGATTGTTTCTGAGTGCCGTGAATGGATAATGAAAGAGGTACCCGCCAAACGAGCTAACCCACATCCACTGCCCCCAATGACTGTCATGTTATAACCCAGACACTATTGATCTAACAAGTGTTCTCTGGGCTCAAACACAAAAATAATATGGATGGCCGTTGAGATGAACCCAGGTACCCAGCCGTTGAGATGAAACCAGGTACCCAGTGGTTGAGATGAAACCAGGTACCCAGCCGTTGAGATGAAACCAGGTACCCAGCCGTTGAGATGAACCCAGGTACCCAGCCGTTGAGATGAAACCAGGTACCCAGTGGTTGAGATGAAACCAGGTACCCAGCCGTTGAGATGAACCCAGGTACCCAGCCGTTGAGATGAAACCTGGTACCCAGTGGTTGAGATGAGCGCAGGTACCCAGCCCTTGAGATGAACCCAGGTTGGATGAAGACACTGAAAATATTTAGGGTTTGATGCCCTAAGCACTGAAAATATTTAGGGACCTCCACTGTTTAAAACACTGGGCAGACCAGTGTGCTGAGGCCCCTAGCACAACCACTCAACAGTCATGGCAATGTAGAGGTGAAAAGTTCGACTTCATTGCACCGAGTTTAATCCCATATGGCTCAGTCTTGTCTCCGCAGATCAGCTAGCTGCCTGTCGAGAGCGTCACACAGAGCACGACCTCCATAACTTTGGCGACGATCCTCATGGATCCCCATAAAACTGCACTTGTGACCTGAACGGAGCCGCCCTTTTAGAGCGATAGGCTAACAGCCTGGCCACAGAGACCCCTAACACAGGGATGACAAATAAATGGTCATCTGACACAGACAGATTAGCATGGGGCTCCCCAGCTGTTGCACGCCGACCCACGAGTCTATAAGTGGGCACTGGAGTCCCCGTAGGAAGATGTCGAGTAGAACGCTTTGAAGCTCCACCTAACACCTCACACACATATCTACTACATGACTAACCCGTTCTTATTGCAGGAAGACAACTATAAGACCACTATGGTCACACGCGGAATATGGAACTATCCAAAACTATAAACTGTTTTCAGTACTTTTTGGCAAAGTAGAATACTCAAATATTCAAAACTATAAATGGGGGTCCAAAGGACATTGTGTAGAAAAGCTGGCTCTCCTACGAAATACGCCTGGCCAAATCAGAGGGAGATCAAACCAAGAGGAAAAACCAAGCCCAGAGACGGCGCAAAAACTAGAATTTTAGTCACGAAAGTGATGCAAATAACCCAGACCACAAATATAGGTGGAGACTGTTAGCAGCCTCGGCTAGCTAGCAGCAGTCTGAAAGTGGTCGAACTTTCAATTTTGTTCTCAAAAGGAATCGGAAACCAGTAGGAAGGCCAAAGCTACGCTATAAAGACATATGCAAACGTGACCTGATAGATACGAACATAGGCACTGCGACTTGGCAGCTCAACTACTATGGTGACATAAAGTAAAAGGACGGGTTGTCGCATTTTGAAAGAAACCAAACGCAGCGAGCTGTAGAGAGGAAACGTCAGAGAGAGAAAATCAGCCTCGTAGCGAGGCAGTATCTACTTTTTGTGAATGTATCCTGTGTGGGGGAGACTGTCACTCCTTCATCGGACTTTACAGTCACAGCAGATGGTGTTCCCAAGCCAGCGCCACAACTCAACGCTCCCTAGGGACTGACATATGCCATTAGTATTAGCTGCTCCAGTATTTGTAAATTCAATATATAAACCATAATAAACAATAACATCAGATGTGTTTTAATGGAAATTAAATCACACAGTAAGACGGAGAATAATGTCTATTTTGGTATACTTTCACTTTATATGTGAGTTTTCTCTACTTTTTTTTCCCTGCAAATTCTTTGATCAGATCCTCCTAATTAATTGTATATAACACGTCTGTTATTTTTTTTTAAATACTTACATAAGGTATCTAGCCTGCGTTGTTGTTCTGGTGGGAATTTTGTTTATACGATGCTTCAGCGGAGCAAATAAACGCTGAGCTCCAAGGCTATTGGAAAATGTTGTGGCACCCCTTCCTTTATGATGCCCTTAGCGTGTGCTTAGTGTACTTAATGAACAATCCGGCCCTGTACCCAGCACGTTTTCCTAGTGCAGCTGTCGTACTTGTAACACTTAACGCCATGGCTGCCGCCTCCCACTCCGGAATCATGCCTCCACGGATTGCCACAGGGGGGCGAAGGTCAGTGCGTTTGTTTACAACACCACTGATAAAGAAGCCAGCTATGAATATTTAGAGTGTATGAATATTTAGTGTGCCCTACAGGTCGCGGTTGTAGAAGTGTAAACTTTGCGCGGGGAAATACGCGGAACTGATGACGCAAGTGTGTGTGTACGAATCGCCATATACGGGCATAGGGCTTCCTAGGCTCTGAACCACAAAGCGGGTAACAACTGATCACGTGACAGACAGTCACGTGACAGTTTCGGTTCCTGTCGCGGGGGAAGGGGGGGGGGGGGTCTAGGTTTGTGGAAGAGAAGGTCACACAGGTTCCACAAACCCGCGGCCCATGATGTGACCTTTTTGCCAGTACAAGTATTGGACCCTTTTCTTCACCCGGGGACACGCCAGCTGTCTGCAGTAGCCACATGTTAATGAAGATCAAAAAGCCGTCACTTGATGATGTCGTTCTTAGGCCGACCGCCGTTACTTCCCATGTCATTTCCCGGTGTTGCAGTCATTATAGTTTTTCCCCACTTCCTAAAGTTATCAGCTTTCATTCCCCCCCCCCCCCCCCCCCCCCCCCCGACTCCTGTCATCATCTCCCCTCCTCTTCTGTCGGTCGGTCTGTCACTCCCCCCCCCCCTTTAATTATATATATATATATATATATATATATATATATATATATATATATATACACACACACACATATATATCACACACACACATATATCAAACACATATCACACACACACACACATGATAATAACTCTAACATAAGGCGGCTGCATTGAAGAACCACTGGTTTCTGTATTTCGACAGAAGAAAACATCGATGAGAAATTTGGCAGTAAATGACCAGGGAAAAAAACCCTTTTCTGGAGATGCTTTAGATACCGAAACATCGATGGACAGGCAGTCTGTTTATGAACCAGCAGACATGGGGTTCTATCATCTACTCACCACGGGCTGTTGAATAACCACTCTCTTCTTCTTGGCTGTCACTGGAGGAAAGTTCTGGGTGTTCTTTCATTTCTGCCGGTTTTTCTTCTTCTAGAACTATAATTTTGCCCGCGCATCCGTTTTAATGATCTGACCTATTTAAATGCAGACTGTTCGTTTGTCGCCTGTTGGGCATATGCACACCTATTCGAATGAACACCACTAGGTAGTCAGCTTTTACGACCTGCTTGTGGCAGTGGATTTGACACTGTCCTCTCACCTCACAACGGGCTCCTGAACCCACACTTGGGGTACTTACTACCTGATACTTCTTAGTGAGGCCTAGAATGTGGTTTTGCCTGTAGTCACCTCAGTGGGGTTTAGGATATCTAGCCAATGATATCTTTTAATTAAAGACCCCTTTACTGTGCACGCAAGATTTCTTAGGGCAACGGGCCGACGTCTGCTGCCGTGCTGCTAAACAAACTTGGCGGGCACTTGTGAGGTCAGCCGGAACTCGTGCAGGTGTCAGAGTATTTGTACGACCTGCCTTCGTGGCATACATAGGCCTAACCCCTACGCACTTTTTTTTTTTCACTTCCTGGAATCCAGGCAAGTATATTGGGCCCCTGAGTGTGCCTGGCTGGGATGTGGTATGTTTGGGATTGACACGGTTCTAAGCAGAACTGGTTTAGATCTGTGTTAGATAACCGTGTTTTGCGAACCATCGTGAACTTGACCTTTGGCTGTTAACCTTATCTTTTTCTATCTGGATGGTACCTGCGACCCCCCCCCCCAACTCCACACAACTTTCTTTTCTCTATCACCACCTGTACCGCTGTAAAACCTTTGACTGGGTGCATCATGAGAAGTTTACTCCATACCTTTATAATATGGGATTTAGCGGAAAGGATGTCAGAACAGTTACTATTATTATGAACCCAAACCCGGAACAAATAGCTACAGTTGGACGCACTTCATCTTCTGATCAAACATAGACATAACAGGAGCAGTGAGTCACGGATGTGTGTTTTCTTCAAGCCTTTTCAATTGCTGTAACAGAAACATTTGTGGACAAGTGGGAGAACTGTGTGGACCGAGTATTCGTAGGAAGGATAATACATAATCTGAGATCTGCTGATGATCCAGTGTTGCTAGCAGGAAGCGAGCAGGAGTTAACAGGACATATTGGGTCAAGTCAGCAGGCAGAGAATGGATGAGACGTGAACGTTTTAAACGGAAACAAGTGTCTCCTATCTTAGACACGTCACAGCACATGATGGCATAAGTAAAGAGCTAATCTAAAGGAGAAAGATAGGACACTTGCTTGTATTACTAATACTGCTGGTACTCTGCCGATACTATTCTACTATTGCTACTGCACCACAAATGTACTAGAGTGCGTTCCACAAGTTCTGTCGTACTTTAAAAATCTGGAACTCAGTAACTGTTCGGTTAAGTTGTCATTTGGCATGTGAACTGATTTCTAGTCTCTCCACAAGCTTCTCTTATCTGCTGCTGCTGCTACTACTACTACTACTACTACTACTACTACTACTACTACTACTGTACTATTACGATTATTGGGGGTCTCTGTGAGCAAGTGGTCAATCCGTTTACCTCGCGCTGTAAAGGTCGTGGGTTCGTTCCACGGACGCTCGGTCTAGTTCACATGAGCACTTTTTGTGGGGATTCACAGGGGATAGTTGCTGGAGCTACGGAGTTTATTTTGTACGACGCTCTCTGCATACAGCTTGCCGTTCTCTGAAGAGAGACCGAGCCCTAGGAGGGTAAACCCCGGTACAGTGAAGTAGATCTTCTAGATCTTTACTATCATCATCAGGGGCCTTGTCGACTGGCGTGGGCGATCATGCCTCGCCACAATCTGCAATCTCCCGCAACATGTATTAGTTCGTGTGCCGACACACCTCCATGCCATGCAACAATACTGTCAAGAATCTTCTCTCGTTGTCTTCCTCTATCCCTCCTTCCACAGATCTTTCCAGTGGTCACAATATGTTCTATTTTCCCTCTTCTCATAATATGGCCGAAAAATGATGACTGTCTCCTTCTGATGTCTGTGATAAGTTGTCTTCGGGCTCCCGCCTCTTACAAAACCTCTTGGTTGCTCTTTTTGGCTGTCCAAGGTATTCTAAGTATTCTTCTGTAAAACCACATCTCTGAGGCCTCAAGAAATTGTTTGGCCTGCCTACCGATTGTCCAGGATTCACAGCCATATGTTAAAACTGGATGTTTGTAGCAAGCAAGAAGTCTTTTTCTAACTCTCAATGACAGATATATATTGCATAAGATGTTCTTCATTTTATCAAATGCAGTTTTTGCCTGTCCTATTCTGTTTCTTATCTCAGTTATGCATCTTCCATCTGATGTTATCCATATGCCCAGATACTTAAATTTCTGTACTTGTCCTAAAACAGCACCATCGACTTTTGTTACACATTTAGGAATAATTTGTTTCTTTGATACCACCATTACTTCTGTCTTCCCATTATTCAAACAGAGGCCCATCCTTGTCGTACGCCCCTCTTTATGCTTTGAAATGTACCTAAACAGTTGTTAATTCTTATAGCTGCTGTTTGCTGCCAATACTTATTCTTTATTACTCGTAACTTTACTATATCTTACTTAACTACTATACTATACAGCTACTTCTCTCATTAACCAGCTGAGGCCAGGCTGTCCCGTCATGCACACATCTCCTGCAGCTTTGTCGACGACCTCCCCATATGTTCCCACGTCTGGCTCGCTAGTTCACCTCTTGTCTGTTTAGGTCTTCATTTGCTATGCTGATTCCACTGAAAGGACATTCTAGCGTCACTTTTTTATTAATTACCGTTTCCAAGAGACAGCGTCTTCCCCTAGCCTCATGATTTGCAGAAAGTAGTCATCTATAAACAAAGCCAACAGCAAATTGCATTAGTCAGTCAGTCAGTCACAGATGGTTATAGGATTGCAGGAAAATGTAGTTGGTGGTTTCTAGAGGTGTCATTATGTGACAGCAGCGTACAACTTTATGTCTCCGTTTCGTTATGTGGCGCTAGGTGTTGCATGCACATTCGCAACACAGAAACAAAATGGCGACTAAATTTACGAAGCGTACTCTCAAAGGAACAACGTGCTGTTGTGCTGGTTTTTGTTTGTGTTATTGTTTTTGAAAATGGGGGGGGGGGGGGGGGGGGGGCAGGGGCGTCGGCTGCCTGCAAAAGACCTTCATAGGGAAATGCTTCCTGTTTATGCTGACACATGTTTATAAATTTTTTTGGGAAGGGGGGGGGGGGAGGTGTTTGTGTGCCATGTAACCGTTAGTTTAGAATATCACTGCTGTATACCGTGTTTTAGGAACTAACTTTAGCTATAATAATGTTAGCTTTAGTAGAAAGAGTATTTTTTGGCTGAGTACGTGTTTCTTAATGGTGGCAGGTGTTTGAATGAGGTCGTTCAACAGTTTGTGGTGTCATTCTATGAAAGTCAAGCTGCCTCACCCTAATACTGTTGGCATTTGAACACCAGTAGAATTGACTGTAAATAGAGCTGTGGTGTGGGAAAACAGTACCGGAAATAAGACACAATAAGTATATTTTGCATTAACTTCACAGACGGTGATTACAATAATAGGAAAGGCAATATTTTCACAAAATGGTAATTCTTTCGGTAAAAGTTTTTAATGTACTAGTAATGGAGGTGGCTGTTCTCCATGTTTCTGCTCGGTACTAGTAACTGAATTGGTGGTGGTTGTCCATGTTTCTGCTCGGTACTAGTAACTGAATTGGTGGTGGTTGTCCATGTTTCTGCTCGGTACTAGTAACTGAATTGGTGGTGGTTGTCCATGTTTCTGCTCGGTACTACAGTACTATAGACGTGAGAGTGAAACAATCACTGCACTAGTTCCTGGCTAGGCATAGGCCCTTTCCAATAACGTGATTGCCGGCTGATGCTTCAGTCCAGGTAAAGTGTGTTTTTCCTGGATATTTTGACGACTCCCGGACCCTAAGTGTAAAAAGGTGATTGGCTGGCTTCTGTGTGTTTTATTACTGGGGGGGGGGGGGGGGGGGAAAAGGGGGGGTCATAATATTGTGAAATAAAAAATTTGACACCCCACTAACGTTTTGAGCTGAAAACAAGACAGCAAATGATATTTTGAGCCGAAAACAGGACCTGCCAACCGAATCAGTTTACCGCCCCCCCCCCCACCTCCAAGGTCATCGAATTGAAAGGATTTAATTATTGGCTGTGGATTCTGGGGCCTCGATGTAAAAGGGGTGGAGGGGGAGGGGGGTAGAGAAATGGTGCAATGTCCTCTAACAAAGCATGTCGTAAGTATCGAGGAAGAAGAACAATGCCTGGCTAGTCAATCGTATTAAAAGCCAAACTATTACCGCCAAGAAACAAACGAAACAGTGGGTGACGTTAACCCCCCCCCCCCCCTCCCCCTCTCTTAAGGAGCGATAAACATCCGGTGGCACAAAAGGCCATCATTCGGGTGAGAATCCCACAACACAAGTCCCGGGAACCCCGTTTAACCGTTAGTTCATATTAGGGCCCCTGGCAACAGCCAGGTCAGAGCTGTAAAATGGCTCCCCAAAAAAATGCGTACCATATTGGGGCTGAGTTTGGTATCTCAGTGTGCTCTTTCAGTGAAATGAAAGAAGAAAATGCACACTGCAGTCGTGTACCACCTGACCTTATAATACCACTGGGGTTGACAGAAGATATTCCGCACCGGGTAAACAAGACCTTGTAATACCACTAAGGTTGACAGAAAATATTCTGCACCGGGTACCACCTGACCTTGTAATACCACAGGTTGACAGATGATATTCCGCACCGGTTACTCCTTGGCCTTGCTATGCCACTTCCTCAATGGAATCGCGTCTAAACGGATGTTTTCTCTATCAGCACAGAGTCACCGGCATACCACTTGACACGACATGCAGCCATGCGGATATCACCAGGTGCCCACCTTTGCTCAGCGCTACATTTATTTCTGTCATCTTATGTTGGTTTTAGCGCATATTTCATGCCTGTTTTATTTACAAAGTTATCGTCGACGTTCTCTCAGCTGATGTGAAGTGGTTTTTAATGGCGGGCTTTCCGAGTCCCAAGCTTCCTGATCTCTCAGTACACATGACTCATATCTGCCGATGGTTTTCAACTGCGCCACATCTTTTCAAGGCATATGGTTTCTTAATAATGATGCCTTTTTTGGGATCTTAAACTATTTTGTTCAGTCGACTATTCTGATCTTTCTTGTACATAACCAGGTTTGCTGGGTGGGACTTGAGCGCTTTCCGCAAAATGTCGAGTCGAATCGGCCTGATTAAACTTGGCAACTGCAAAAGAATCCATGAGGGAAAACAGCCAAAGCAGACCTGACAGGTGGAACACACGAATGAGGGGAGTTGAATGTGCCGAGTTTCACAGTTTCTCTGTGAATCCTTCCTGGCCAGGGTTGCAGCTGACTGTCCACTTCTGGTACATGTCTGTCTGTTTGGTCGCTTGTGTGTATCTTTGATATTCCCGTGTGAGTTTCGGGGCGTCATTTTTAGGGAGGAAAAAAGAAGAGAATAGACCCGCTGCCTTAATAACAAGCATGTCCTACAGGTCCACTAATAAAGGCCGTTTCATTTGCCTGAGAGACGAGTAACCAGCAGTCTGCATAGATATAAGCCAGATCTTAAAACGGATGTGCACACAAAACTCTTTCTGAAACAAGGCCAGAGTCCAGAAGTGGCTGAATGAGCAGAACTTTCCGCCAGAGTTTACAGCCAATGAAGGGGAGAAGGAAGTAAAAATGAACTTACCACATGGTGGGACACACAAATGTTGAAGCCTGGTGACAGCTTTGCCTAGGAATCCGTTTTCAAGTACACCTAGCCACGTTTCCAAATGTTGCCTTCTTTTTTCTCCAGGCTCTCACTTTGAAAGTTACAAATAAAGAAATAAAAGACAGCTTTAATAACTGTTATGTGGGGAGGGGGATTTGAACCAATTCCAGGAGATGGATTATTGTTGTTTCGATGCGTGCATCTTCATGTTTGCTAGGTATGAAGTAGGAAACAGCTGGAAACGTGGCTAAGGGAACTTGTCTTAGTGAGACTACGCAGTCCAGCATCCTACATATAATGGATTATATTATCAGTGGGCTATTTTCAACAAGCATGTCGTATGATGTCCCCTCAGGTGGATCACGGCGGAAGGTACAAAGGTTTCTGGGACTGTGCGTACTTGAGTGTCAAACGTGGAGGCTTCGCCGTACTGTTTACTGGGACTTCCATCACCATTCTTCGGGCTTTCCCGGTCAATGCCGTCACGTTTTTGGTCTACTCACAGATGATCCGGGAGCTGAACCTAATCAACCCACACCCGTCGGTGGAGAAGGCAGCGCAGACGGCTAGTGGTTGATGGCAGGTGAGGTAGACTGGATAACTGGCAGCTGGAACATGTTCTCTGTCCCCGGGGCTGTGAGCAGACTTTTCTGGAGATGAACATGTCCATGATGTGCCTTCAACACAGAATGTGAGGGTAGACTGACCAAGTATGTGAGGGTGGACTGTCCAAGTATGTGAGGGTGGACTGTCCACATATGTGAGGGTGGACTGTCCACATGTGTGAGAGTGGACTGTCCACATGTGTGAGGGTGGACTGTCCAAGTATGTTAGGATGGACTGTCCAAATATGTGAGGGTGGACTGTCCACATGTGTGAGGGTGGACTGTCCACATGTGTGAGGGTGGACTGTCCAAGTATGTGAGCGTGGACTGTCCAAATATATGAGGTTGGACTGTCCAAGTATGTGAGGGTGGACTGTCCAAGTATGTGAGGGTGGACTGTCCAAATATGTGAGGGTAGACTGTCCAAATATGTGAGGGTGGACTGTCCAAATATGTGAGGGTAGACTGTCCAAGTATGTGAGGGTGGACTGTCCAAATATGTAAGGGTGAACTGTCCAAGTATGTGAGGGTGTACTGTCCAAGTATGTGAAGGTGGACTGTCCAAATATGTGAGGGTGGCCTGTCCAAATATGTGAGGGTGGACTGTCCAAATATGTGAGGGTGGACTGTAAAAATATGTGAGAGTGGACTATCCAGGTATGTGAGGGTGGACTGTCCAAATATGTGAGGGTAGACTGTCCAAATATGTGAGGGTGGACTGTCCAAGTATGTGAGCGTAGACTGCCAGATTACCTGAGGGTGGACTATCCAAATATGTGAGCGTGGGCTATCCAAATATGTAAGGGTGGACTGTCCAAATATGTGAGCGTAGACTGTCAAAATACGTGAGCGTGGACTATCCAAATACGTGAGCGTAGACTGTCCAAATAAGTGAGCGTGGACTGTCCAAATAAGTGAGCGTGGACTGTCCAAATATGTGAGCGTGGACTGTCCAAATATGTGAGCGTGGACTGTCTAAAAATGTGAGCGTGGACTGTCCAAATGTGTAAGCATGGACTGCTAGATTACCTGAGGGTAAACTGTCCAAATATGTGAGGGTGGACAGTCCAAATATGTGAGGGTAAACTGTCCAAATATGTGAGGGTGGACTGTCCAAATATGTGAGCGTGGACGATCCAAAAATGTTAGTGTGGATAGTCCAAATATGTGAGCGTGGACTGTCCACATATGTGAGCGTGAACTGTCCAAATATGTGAGCATGGATTGCAAGATTACCTGAGGGTGAACTGTCCAAATATGTGAGCCTGGACTGTCCAAATATGTGAGGGTGGACTGTCCAAATGTGTAAGCATGGACTGCTAGATTACCTGAGGGTAAACTGTCCAAATATGTGAGGGTGGACAGTCCAAATATGTGAGGGTGGACTGTCCAAATATGTGAGGGTGGACTGTCCAAATATGTGAGGGTTGACTGTCCAAATATGTGAGGGTGAACTGTCCAAATATGTGAGGGTTGACTGTCCAAATATGTGAGGATGGACTGTCCAAATATGTGAGGATGGACTGTCCAAATATGTGAGCGTTGACTGTCCAAACATGTGAGTGTGGACTGTCCAGGTATGTGAGCGTGGACTGCCAGATTACCTGAGGGTGGACTGTCCAAATATGTAAGGGTGGACTATCCAAATATGTGTGGGTGGACTGTCCAAATATGTGAGCGTGGACTGTCCAAATATGTGAGCGTGGACTATCCAAATATGTGAGCGTGGACTGTACAAATATGTGAGCGTGGACTGTCCAAATATGTGAACGTGAAATGTCTAAATATGTGAGCGTGGACTGCCAGATTACCTGGGGGCGGACTGTTTAAATATGTAAGATGGGCTGTCCAAATATGTAAGCGTGGACTATCCAAATATGTGAAGGTGGACTGTACAAATATGTGAGCGTGGACTGTCCAAATATGTGAGCGTGAACTGCCAGACTACCTGGTGGTGGACTGTTTAAATATGTGAGATAGGCTGTCCAAATATGTAAGCGTGGACTATCCAAATATGTGAGGGTGGACTGTACAAATATGTGAACGTGGAATGTCTAAATATGTGAGCGTGGACTGCCAGATTACCTGGGGGTGGACTGTTTAAATATGTGAGATGGGCTGTCCAAATATGTAAGCGTGGACTATCCAAATATGTGAGGGTGGACTGTCCAAATATTTGAGCGCAGACTGACCAAATATGCGAGTGTGGGCTGTCCAAATATGTGAGCGTGGACTATCCAAATATGTAAGGGTGGACTGTCCAAATATGTGTGGGTGGACTATCCAAATATGTGAGGGTGGACTGTCCAAATATGTAAGGGTGGACTATCCAAATATGTGTGGGTGGACTGTCCAAATATGTGAGGGTGGACTATCCAAATATGTGTGGGTGGACTGTCCAAATATGTGAGCGTGGACTGTCCAAATATGTGAGCGTGGACTGTCCAAATATGTGAGCGTGGACTGTCCAAATATGTGAGCGTGGACTGTCCAAATATGTGAGCGTGGACTATCCAAATATGTGAGCGTGGACTGTACAAATATGTGAGCGTGGACTGTCCAAATATGTGAGGGTGGACTGTCCAAATGTCCTAAATATGTGAGCGTGGACTGCCAGATATACCTGTCCAAATATGGGTGGGACTGTCCAAATAGGTGAGATGGGGAACTGTCCAAATATGTGAGCGTGGACTATCCAAATATGTGAAGGTGGACTGTACAAATATGTGAGCGTGGACTGTCCAAATATGGGAGCGTGGACTGCCAGACTACCTGGTGGTGGACTGTCCAAATATGTGAGATATGGGGACTGTCCAAAATGTGAGCGTATGTCCAAATATGTGAGCGTGTCCATGACTATCCAAATATGTGAGGGTGGACTGTCCAAAATGTGAGGGTGAGACGTCCAAATATGTGAGTGGGACTGTCCAAATATGTGAGCGTATGGGTGTGACTGTCCAGATATGTGACCTGGGGGTGAACTGTGTGAGGGTTGACTGTCCAAATATGTGAGATGGGCTGTCCAAATATGTAAGCGTGGACTGTCCAAATATGTGAGGGTGGACTGTCCAAATATTTGAGCGCAGACTGACTGCCAAATATGTGAGTGTGGGTGGGTGGACTGTCCAAAATATGTGAGCGTGGACTGTCCAAATATGTGAGCGTGGACTATCCAAATATGTGAGTACAAATATGTGAGCGTGGACTGTCCAAATATGTGAGCGTGGATGTCTAAATATGTGAGGGTGGGACTGTTTAAATATGTGAGATGGGCTGTCCAAATATGTAAGCGTGGACTATCCAAATATGTGAGCGTGGACTGTCCAAATATGGGATGCTGTTAAATATGTGAGATGGGCTGTCCACTGTCCAAATATGTGACTGTACACAAATATATGGAACGTGGACTGTCCAAATATGTGAGCATTGCCATTTAGTGAGATGGGCTGTCCAAATATGTAAGGTGGACTGTCCAAATATGTGAGCGTGGACTGCCAGATATTTGACCTGAGGGGAGTGTGGGCTGTCCAAATATGTGAGCGTGGACTATCCAATATGTAAGGGTAGACTATCCAAATATGTGAGGGTGGACTGTCCAAATATGTAAGCGTGGACTGTCCAAATATGTGTGGACTATCCAAATATGTGGGGTGGACTGTCCAAATATGTGAGGGTGGACTATCCAAATAGGTGTCCAAATATGTTAGGCGTGGACTGTCCAAATATGGAGCGTGGACTGTCCAAATATGTGAGCGCGTGGACTGTCCAAATATGTGAGCGTGGACTGTCCAAATATGTGAGCGTGGACTATCCAAATATGTGAGCGTGGACTGTCCAAATATAGCGTGTAGGCGTCTAAATAGTGAGCGTGGACTGCCAGATTACCTGGGGTGAGTTTAAATATGTGACTGTCCAAATATGTAGTGAGCGACTGGACTGTCCAAATATGTGAGCGTGGACTGTCCAAATATGTGAAATATGCGTGGACTATCCAAATATGTGAGGGTGGACTGTACAAATATGTGAAAGATTATGGGGGTGGACTGTTTAAATATGTGAGATGGGCTGTCCAGTAAGCGTGGACTGTCCAAATATGTGAGGGTGGACTGTCCAAATATGTGAGACGTGGACTGTCCAAAATATGTGTGAACGTGGACTGTCCAAATATGTGAGCGTGGACTGTCCAAATATGTGAGCGTTGTCCAAATTGGAGGGTGGGTCCAAACATTGTTGTCCAATATGTGACTGAGATGGGTGGACTGTCCAAATATGTAAGCGTAGACTATTCAAAAATAGGGTGGACTGTCCAAATATGTAAGCGTGGACTGTCCAAATATGTGAGGGTGGACGTCCAAATATGTGAGGGTGGACTGTCCAAATATGTGAGCATGGACTGTCCAAAAATGTGAGGGTGGACTGTCCAAATATGTGAGGGTGGTCTGTCCAAATATGTGAGGGTGGACTATTCAAATATGTGGGGGTGGACTATCCAAATATGTGAGGGTGGACTGTCCAAATATGTGAGGGTGGACTGTCCAAATATGTGAGCGTGGACTGTCCAAATATGCGAGGGTGGACTGTCCAAATATGTGAGCGTGAACTGTCCAATTATGTGAGGGTGGACCGTCCAAATATGTGAAGCTGGACTATCCAAATATGTGTGGGTGGACTGTCCAAATATGTGAGCGTGGACTGTCCAAATATGTGAGCGTGGACTATCAAAATATGTGAGCGTGGACTGTACAAATATGTGACCGTGGAATGTCTAAATATGTGAGCGTGGACTGCCAGATTACCTGGGGGTGGACTGTTTAAATATGTGAGATGGGCTGTCCAAATATATAAGCGTGGACTATCCAAATATGTGAGGGTGGACTGTCCAAATATTTGAGCGCAGACTGTCCAAATATGTGAGTGTGGGCTGTCCAAATATGTGAGCGTGGACTATCCAAATATGTAAGGGTGGACTGTC